AAATAAATAGACTATTACTGTGCTAAAAAACCTTTTGTCAGTAAGAAAACAAATGCTCTAGACTAAAAGATAACTTACTCATTAGAAAATACTTAAAAAGCATCCATCTAAGGGAGTATATGCCAAAAATATATAAGCAATTTATAAAAATCAACCATAAAATAACAACTCGATTTAGAAAATATATTAGTAAAGATTCAAACACTAGTAAAGAAATGTGGATAACAATTAAATACATGAAAAATATTTATTATAAATAATATTAGGGAAAATTCAAAACAAAAGTAACATAACACCTTACTCTTGTTAGAACAAATAATATCAAAGTTTCTACAAAACAATAAATGTTGGTGGAAATATGGAGGAAAAAGAGTTCTTATATACTTTTGGGGGGAGGGGACTGAGGAGGGGGGCGCACTCAGCAGTGATCAGGGCTTATTCCTGGCTTTGTACTTAGGAATCACACCTAGCAGGGTCAGGGGACCAAATGGAATTCTAGAGATCAAACTCAGTACAGCCACATGCAAGACAAATGTTGTCATTTTCACTGTACTAACTCTTTGGCCTGAGCTCTTATATGCTCTTGATGGGAATATGCATATATATATATATAACATATATGTGTGTATGTGTGTGTATTCATTATGGAAAACACTATGAAGAATTCTCAAAAGACTAAGAATATAAATACCATATGACCCAACTATTCTACATCTGAGTACTTAACCGAAGAATATGAAAAGTTTATTTTAAATAATACGCATGTACTCCTATGTTCATTACAGAATTGTTTCCAATAGATAGAGATTGGGAACAATGTAAATGCCCCTCAAGACAGTAATGTACAGAGAACATATACATATGTGTATGTGTGTGTGTGTATATATATATAATGTACAGAGTAATGTACAGAGAACATATACATATGTGTGTGTATATATATAAAGTGTGCAATGGTATAATACTCAGTTATAAATAAAGATGAAATGTTACAATTTGTATCAACAGGTATAGACCTTGAAAAGACCCTGCTTTGTAAAGTAAGTCAGGTGGAAGAAGTAAAATGTCATATTATTTCACTATAGAAGCAGCAGATTGAGAAAGAAACAAAAAAGGAAAACAAAACAATAAACAAATTCTTTTCTTCTTGACAACAAAATAATGGTTACTAGAGGGAGAGGTGATATAAATAGATGAACCTGTAAAAGGTAAAATTCAAATGAGGAAAAAATGTATACAAAATATACATGTATTTGCATACCCAAAACAGTGTTATGAATCAATGCTAATCATACTTAAAAATACATACTTAATATTAATTACTTAGAAGAGGGAGTACCACTGATTTTCCAAGCTATCTGATATTAAGTTTAAAAAGACATATGCTATTACAGAAGTTAATTCATTAAATTTTTTAAATTCTTTAGTATAGATATTGGGATGCTAATGAAATAATGAACTGATAGTAAAAAAATATATCTGTAAAACAGTCTGATTCTTCTACATTAAAAATAAACTCTCACAAATGAGGTTTTTCTCATTCCATAGTTATTAACTGTAATACAAAGGGGAATTAAGTACTTCAATATAACAAGCTTTCCTCAAATGTATTTAATGGTCCAATGCACTATTATATTTATGTGTTTTTTTGTGAGGAATAGATATTTCAACTAAAATTAAGTCATATAAAATTTTCAAAATTATTTAGTTTTACCAAAAGGATTAAATATCAAATGTACATCAATAATAACTGGCTCTAATGATTTTATTTTTTTAGTCTACTTAAGAATCTCTCTAATTCTCTTGAAGTCATACTCTAATCTTTTTACTGTCAATCTACTACTTCCTAACAGAGTAACAGGTGAAATTCTTCGTTATAGTCTGATTTTTTTGGTCTAGCTAGTGAATTTGTCCTGAACTTTTTGTTTATTTTACTAAAATTCACAGAATCATTATCTTACAAAATACATTTCTGTTCAGTGTTATATAATCATTGGAGTCTTTAACATAAAACACCAGGGATTGGCTTTTAGTTTTTTGGCAGTAAATTCAAGAATAACTGTTAAATTCCACTTTTGTTTTTGCTTCCATCTATAAGACATATCATCTTGAATATGGCCATTGCTCAATTTTGTTGACATATTAAGGGATTCATAACATTGATAAGCTGAAGAATTCTTGAGAAATATATAAAATATAAGGAAAAGATAAAATATTACCAAATAGTTATTGGCCCATTAAAGCATGGATGAAAATAATTCTTTTACTCAAAATAAAGTTTTATAAGATACATTCTTAAATAAAAAAATCAAAATGCATAAATGCCAAAACCCAAGAGAAAATGACAATAAATAGAACCTGGTAGCTGTTTTGTCTCAGGAGAGGTTGCTAGTTGTACCTTTGTTATGGACCATGATAAACACACACAAATTAGAATCAATAAAATATGAGATAAATGCAATCCCTACATATGAAGAGGTACAGAGAAAATTAAAGTTTATGTATAGCATAAATGTGTATAAAATGAAAGTGCCATTCAAATTTGAAAACACAAAATTAGAAAGGGCAAAATTAGATATAAAATATCTTAAACATAACAAATACTTACAATGAAGATAAAGGTAGCAACCCTCATACCTTCACTGAAAAAATTTTTTTTCAAATAATTTAATTTTAAATACATTTGTGTGTTGAATTACAAGTTATCAAATATGAGGTAAATATAAGAATAAATGTAATAAGCAAGTAATACATTTACTGCATTTGTAGTGAATAGGCCTTACTATTAATTATAATGCCACTAAATACTGTACGTACATCCACAGGGGTATATATAGAGGGTTTTGGATACAATTATCTATAAAAGTCTAATTTTGATTTTTAGCTATGTAGATTACATAGTATACTAATCTTCCTTTATTGTGATTTTAGTGCAAATTTATGCGTTTATCAGCACACATAGGCAATGGAATAATAACCTAGCAGTCATAGTAAATTCAAAACAACTAAATTATAGGGTGAATTTAAGCTTAAGTTCCCTGTAGTTTGCCATCTGTTATAAATCACAAATGACTAATTTCAAAGTTTTTTAAATTCTTCAATTGTGTAAATTCTAAACATACTCATATAGTAGATTTACATAATTTTAGCAGCAAAAAAGAAGCCAACTAAGATTTCCATACACTGATAAATTGGGTTGCCAGAGCAAGCCCATAATCACCAAGTTCCTAAGCAACCAAAAACTCCACAGACACCAAATTCTTAGGAGTCCACTGATCTTTCATCATCCTTCTGGAAGAAGCATGAAAATGCATGGTACCCAACTCACTGCAGGATTTTGATTATTCAATAAAGCAGTAACCCCTTTAAATGTCCTCTGTATTGATATGTATTAATTAGATAATAATATTTGTACTGGGAAATTAACTAGTCAACTTACAAATGGGTGAAATTAGAGATGAAAATGATTGGTGATTATTATTTGTTGGCAGGTACATATATTAATTGAATGAATTAATAGGACACGAAATAAATATAACTCCAAGAACAAAACAGTTTATATATATGCTAACATTTATAAAGTCCCAGGTTTAAATAAAAAATTATCTTGTTAACAGAATCACTATATAACAAGTCATTTAAATTTGTTTTATTGTTATTGTATATTTAGGTAACCTATAAGCATAAAACAGAATCTTATAATCATTTTGTTTTAAAATACTATAGATTGTCGAACGATTAAATAATATTAACCACCTATATGTCAAATAGAATTGCATAGATCTGAGTTATTAGTAAGTTTGAGTTTATTGCCTAAATGATCAGATATTTATTTTTTTCCTTGTTTATGTTAAAACTTTCTTTGATACTCTATCTACACAATATCATAGCAATACCATTGCTCTCTTTTAACTCACAAAGTTTATTTTCCAATATTATAGATAATTTAAATGACATTAAAGTTGAGGCTTAAATACTATTTAAACATATAGAACACTTTATCACAATACAAATAGAAACATGTCATGCATATAAATGATTTGATGTGGCCAGTAAAATGATTATGACTAGATTCTGTAAAAATTTACTTAGTTTTATCATCTGACTTTTTGTTACTTCTATAAGCATTCTTTATAACTAGTCTTTACCACGGAAAACTCCATAGGACTCAATTAAAAATCAAAATTTGGCTTTAATTTAGTGGTCAAGTTTTCATATTACTTCTGATAGTCATAAATTGCTTCAAAGATTCAGTTGTCCTAGTCAGATGCAAAACATATAAACAAGTTTTCTGACCTAAGAGTGAGATAAAGTTGCAAAGTCACCTCTTAAATAAGCCATAGTAGACAGCAGTTTATCAGAGCAATGTTAGGAATGCCATGGTAGAAACAGTCTGTAACCTCTACAGATTACTGCTGAGTCTATGAGGTGGAGAGGACAGAATCTTCTTCAGGACTGAGAAGACCGCCACACTCTCTTAAATCTTAATATGAGTGTCCAGGATTTATTTAACTTTATATATTATAATGTTATGACCTGATAAAAAGTGATGGTCTACAAGTTAAGTCTTTGTGGGCATACTTTCTGATTAAGAAAAGCTACACATGAATTTGTACCTATAGTACATTTTCTAATTTTATTCCTCCATTATCAAAATGTATGTTGGAGGGTTTGAATAATTTTAATATTTATGAGTCTTCTCTGACTATGTAGTATTTCAATTATTACTGATAAGAACTAAAACATCTACTAAACCTGACCTACATGGTCTGCTTTCTTTTAGATACACTTCACTAAAAGTTTGGGAAAGATTCCTGAATAGATGCAACGTTTCATATCCTCTCAACTCCCTAAGAGAAGAGAGAAATGGAAACATGCACAAACTGAGCAAGAAACAAAGCAAAATCGAGGCAAAGTAAAGATTTTAGTACTGCAGGCACATGGTCTTGAGTTCTATGTTGTTAGCCTAGACTTTAAAGGGATCACAGAGGCGTAATTACCAGTTAGAAGTCCCGATGAGAAAAGTGCAAGGCCACCAATGTTAAGGTATTTTCAAAATGCTGTTGAAGACCAGGTAATTAACACTGGTGACTCTGGTTGTGCTTGCCCCAGCGCAGGTTCAAATCACTGCTGTACATCAGCTAGCTCCACCTCCAAGTACCTAAATATGGTTGTGAAATTTTGATTGACACTCCAGGGAGACAGTGGGATTCCTGAACCAAAGTAAACCCTGCAGGCTGTTTGCCAACCTCTCCAGCTTGAAAAGGAGCTGTTCTTCACCCTGATTCTTTCTTTAAAAACAAATAGAAAAGGGAAAAGAAAATAAAAGGAAGAAACAATTATTCTGTGACTTTTAAAAGAACACAGAAGCAACTCCCTCTCCGGGGATAGCCCTACTTATTTTCTCACAGGAATCCCCTTGAGTCTTTTCATTCTGTGTCTTTGTTACAGGACTTTGCAGTCCTCCTAGGAACCTCATAACAACGTGCACATTGGTCTTTAATATTAACAGGTAACTTGTTTTTAATATAAGAAATAAGAATTGTTGTAGGTCTTGTAGAGTTACCAATGAAAATCACATTAGACTGCACTTGGCAAATTAAAAATGTTTTATTACCACCCAAGAGAACTAAGATAACAATAGTTGATGAGTATTATTGCTACAACAAATAAGAACTTAAGAAAGAAAAGAGAGAGCAAAAGGGAATGTCCTGCCACAGAGGTGGGGTGGGGTGGAGGGATGGGATGAGGGAGTGAAAGGGTTACTGGGTTCATTGGTGGTGGAGAATGGACACTGGTGGAAGGATGGGTACCTGATCATTGTTTAACTGAAACCCAAGCACAAAAGTTTATAAGTCTACAACTGTACCTCATGGTGTTTCACTAATTAAAAAAAAAAGAATTCTAAAACAAAGTATGCTATATGCTGTATTAGAAAATATGTGATTTTTTTCAGATCACTTAAGACTAACTTTCAGGGATCAGTATTGAACAAAAGTATATAACTGCATTGTCAATGATGACTTATGTGGCAAAGATGTGCTTAGAACCCCGCTAAAATATGATTTCTGTTTTGAAGTTTTCTGTCACGGTTATGGTCCTCCCATTGTTCATTGATTTGCTCGAGCGGGTCCAGTAATGTCTCCAGTGTGAGACTTTGTTGTTACTGTGTTTGGCATATCGAATACGTCACAGGTAGCTTGCCAGGCTTTGCCGTGCGGAAGAGATACTCTCGGAAGCTTGCCAGGCTGTAATGTGTTTCAAAATAAACTAAATGCTGAGAAGATAGCTCAAAGGGTAGGTGTACATGATTTGCATGCAGGACACCAAATTGGCACCTTGGTACACATTCCTGAGGAGGAGCTTCTGAGCACTACCAATTGTGCCCCAAAAATCAAAAAGAAAAAAAATAATAAAATGATCAAGCAATAAGTAATTTTATTCTATTCTCAAAGCCACCCTAATTTTAACATGTATTCTAGAACTTTTTATTCACCATAAAATATTCTACAATTTATAGATTTACATTATAGATCACGTATAAAATACAGAAATTTGCATTTTAAATGTTAAGAATGAGTTTTCCACTGGCAAAAGTAACTATTTAAAAGATTTGTGAATTGCTTAAAATAGTAATATATCCTACTCTTACATTACAGTTATAACATTTCAGCAAGTCCAGATTTCTGACTCAGTTCAGACATACCCATGGCTTAACTCCTAATTTCAGAGCATTCTTGGTTCCTTGACTCAGATGAGCTTTTAGTCAAATTCTTTAGTAAGCATGTTAAATCTAAGCCTGTTGATTAATGCTCCATACAAAATCTGCTGGAATGCTTAAAAGGACAGAGTGTTTGGACTTTAGGAACCACGTGGAGTAAGTAGGATAGGTTCTTTCTTCAACTACTTCAATCAGAAGTCAATCTGAGGTTTTTGACTGTTTTGCGGAGAAGCCCAATGGCTCTCCCTGCAGTTATCTAATGAAAACTTTCTAGCAACGCTTATTAATAATAATAGTGTATGCCCCAGATGGATATGATCCTTCAGAGATGGTAAGCAAAGGTAAATGAAGAATGAAGAAACTCTCAAGGTGCTCACAGTCTTGAAATGTGCTTGATGCCCATAGGATGATGCTACATAAAGATTCTAAGGCAGAATATTTTAAAGTGTCCTGAACTCATAGGACTTCCACATCTAACAGATATAAATAGCAATGACTTTTAGTTTAAAGACCTTTCACCCATTTCTGTGACAGACACACTTTTTTCTTCTTCTACTCATGACCTTTGGATTGTAGAAACAGAAATAATTTTAGGAAACTTGTCTTGAGTGTTTAGGTTTTTAGAGATCTAAGGAGCAAGAAATGTTGGTTCTAAATAGCTGTAATTAGATATTAAAAGTAAAAAACCAAAAGCCTGCCAAGTAAATTACTGCTTTTTCCTTTCTTTCCTCACTTATTCCCTACTTCCCCTGATTTTTACCTCTTTTCAAACATTTTTCACACAGATTTTGGCCTGACAACACAAATACCATTTTGATTTTTATCTCATTGTTTTTTTGTTCTTTTCCACAACACCTGTAAATTTAATACTAAGTCTAGTATAATTAATATAATTCATATCTCATTCTGATTGAAAATACATTGAATACTCTATTGCAGAGTGAAGATAATGTTTTTGTGTGTGTGCGTGATGCCAGAGAGGAAAACCAGCGTCTTACAGATACAAATCAGATACTCTATTACTCTAATGAGCTACATTCCTGGCCCCTCAAGTGACATTGATTTTTTAATTAATCAGACTTCACTGAACATTTAAATTTTCAAATATTAAAAAATTAAATAGTAAAATTAATTTTATAAGTTAAAATAAATACTTAAATATAAAAATAAAATGCTTGTATCCAATTAATGTAGATTATTTCCCTCCATATGATAGACAACTTGAACATCTAAAATAGGATACTGAAAGGAACAAATACTTAATTTTTTAATGAATCACTGTGTAACACACAGTCACACAGTTGTTTATGATTGGGTTTCAGTCAGACATGTTCCAACACCTGCCCCTTCACCTGTGTACATTTCCCACCCACCACCAATGACTTCAGTTTCCCTCCCAATCCCATAACTCCAATCTGTCTCTTTGGAAGACGCTTTACTCTCTCTCTCTCTCTCTCTCTCTCTCTCTCTCTCTCTCTCTCTCTCTCTCTCTCTCTCTTCTCTAACTCTCTCTTCTCTTCTCTCATTCCTTTGGGGCATTTATGCTTTGCAATACAGATACTGAAAGGTTATTGTGTTTGTCTCTTCACCTACTTTCAGCACTCAGTTCTGGTCTGGAGTGACTATTTTAAACTATTATTAACATAATGGTCCTCTTCTCTATACTAATGGCCTCCCCTCACAATTGTGGAAATCTTCCAACAGTAGAATAGTTCTCCTGGCCCTTGTTTCTATTATCTTTGGTTATTATTCTCATACTATGTTTTTTTTTATATCCCACAAATGAGTGCAATAATTTTATATCTGTCCATCTTTCTCTGATTCATTTCACTCAGCATGACATTCTCCATGTTCAGCAATTTATAAACTAATTTCATAACTTCATTTTTCCTGGTGGTTGCATAGTATTTATTCTATTGCGTAGATGTACCTTGTTTTTTTTTTTTATCCAGTCATCTGTTCTCAGGTATTTGGGTTGTTTCCTGATTCTAGCTATTGTGAATAGTGATGCAATGAACATAGAAGTGCAGATAATTTTTGTGCAATATTTTTGGGTCATTAGGGTATGTTCGCAGAAATGATATTTCTGGGTTTTATGAAAGCTCAATTTCTAGTTTTCTAATGAATTCCTATATTGTTTTCCAGAGGACCTGGACCAGTTGGCCTCTTGAAAATGGCCATCCCATCCCATCATGATGATGACTCCCATCAACAATGAATAAGAGTCCCTTTCTCCCCACACCTATGACATTTTTCAAGTAGATCAAACATTCCTGAAATTTCATATGAATCAGTAAACTCCCATGAGTAGCTAAAGTAATCATTGGAAAAGTAAAAAGGAGATAATTTACAAAGAGAAAAATAGGAAAATAAGTTAAATTTTAAAATGTTCAAAATTAATATTAAATGGATTATTGAGTTAATGCATCCTAGGTGAGAACTATAATCAAAGATGAATAGAAAGATATAATGATACTGAATCAAGTAAAATCATTTTTACCCATATCTGAGTCTTTAACTTTTGTCATATAACTCTCTTAGTGGAAGAGTCAGTCTATGTTACAATAACATGTTAGAATTATTTATATTAATTTTATATATAGTGAAAATAAATAACTATTATTTGCCAATTATTTAATCTAATAAAATATTCCTCCTTGGTATCTGATTACATTGATTCAGATATGATAAAAATCAATAAGATAAAGTCAAGTTTCATTGAGTGTAGTTAAAAAGATGTATAGAAAAATGTTATGAAGTAGCATAAGAGAGAATATAAAGGAAAGTTAATGATTGGGTAAAGTTTCTATAGAATCTATGAAGTTTTAGAATTGAGAGACAAGCTTCAAAAGAATAGCTTATTTTCAGCTACTTCCTCCAGCAGAGTTTGAATCACAGCTCAATTACTATATATTGACATACAGGGAGGGTTACAAATGGATCATATTTCTCCATCTTCAGAAAGATATAATTATTTCTATCAGCAACCAGTAATCTCAGGAAGAAAATAAAAAGGTTTTATGGGGAATTTAAAATAAATGAGATTAGAGAAAACATTTCAAATATATTGAGTGTATTCCATGTTCAGGCACTTCTAGGAAAATATTTAGTTCATCTTAGAATTCAAAATCAATTGTGTCAAACTACCATAACTTATAAGTTTGCTGGCACAAATAAGTTCAAGAAAGAACTAAAAGCTTTCTTTCAAAGCACAAACATTTTACTTAATGCAGAAGAAAGAAAGAAAAAACATACTGGATATATTCAATAAACCATCTTGGTTTTCTTACTTGGTGCCTTGAGGACAAATATGTTAAATGTTATAAAAACTCAGCAATTTTATTTGAAAAGAATAAAGACTAAAAGTAAAGGTACATATACAATTTATATACATATAAATGTA